AACCCTAACTATTCTATGATTCTATAAATGGTTTGATGGAACCTAATACCAGAGCTCATTTGCTTATTGTACCTTCTGTGTTAATGTAATTGCATATTGCAATACCTTGCAAAACCTCCTCTCTGTTTTGAAGCCTGGAATTGCAAGCCGCATTAGAAATTCATGTCTTATCGCTGAAAATTGTGGCTGTTTAAAATGCTATTTCTGTCATGAGTATTAACACGCGGAAGAGCTGGACTTACAGCTTCAACAAGCAGGCTGCAGCGTCTTGGTTTTCTTAATATTATGTTCTCTTGTTTTAACATGTAGCTATCATTTAATATTTATTCACAGCAATTGCTTCTTGAATGACAATGGAAATGCAAGGCTGATAAAGGTTAACAATTACTTTGATTGTTAAGTTCTAAAAGAGTAATTGTTTTGTCCCCTGCCCTTGTCATTAAGAATGAAGGGTGTTTTGCTGTATTGGGATCTCTCCTGAATGACACTGTATTGACTTCTGTACAAGTGATTTTTCAAACATTCCCTGAATTGGAAGATTGCATGACTTCTGAAAAACTGTGTCATATATTTGATGGTTACTTTCTTGTTAAAATATATACAGTAAGTACTTTTGCTTTTCAAACAATAAAGGTATAGAACACAGTTTGCTTGCAGTGCGTTAAGTAGTAAAGTTAAAAACAAATCCAGTGTTTTCTCAAATCTGTTGTCATATAGATAGAAACTAATCAGCAAGTTTTGTGGGATGACTTTCCACAGAGTGGAGAATGCCTGCACCAAACTTGTTCGGGCAGCCCAGATGCTACAAGCAGATCCTTATTCAGTACCAGCTCGTGACTATCTAATTGATGGATCAAGAGGCATCCTTTCTGGAACATCAGACTTACTTTTGACATTTGATGAAGCAGAGGTAGGAATCCCAAGATGACTGACATAGGTATCTACACAATAGCACTATTCAAATATCAACCTAACTGAATTAGCTAATCTAAACTATTGAGTAGATGAATGTGGTTTTGATTGTTTTAGCTTGGAAGCATATTTTGCATTCCTTTCTGTCAGAAGGAGCTTAGGCTTGTTGGTCTGTTTTGTTAAGAGCATCATTGTATGATAGAATGTTTAGGTGTGCCTGTGATTATTCCTCAAGAAGGCCAGATTCCATCAACCCTGCCTTAAATCTTCCTGATGCTTTTCTGTATTCCCTTCATCATACCCATTACTGAGCCTTATATTTTCTGTATCTTTTCACTGAAAAGCCCTAGGCCACTTCCGGACATGTCTGTCTGACTCATTAGCTGTGGCAATTTCATTGGCCTTGGGCATGGGAGGTAATAGAAATTTGGACTGTCTGGCTGGTCAGCCAGATGATGTGTGCTGATAGATCTAACAGTTACTGTATTTTGGCTGCTGCATAAGCCAGAAATGGTTCAGAGGTACTGTTTGTCCATCCTCAGGTGGGCATAAAAGCCAGAGTTGCAAGGAAACTTAAAAAGGAAGTTTTGTGTGTCTTGTATTTTATTTTTTTAAATTTTTTTGTTACTGATCTTGCTTATTATTGTAATCCTTTTTCTGGGAATGTGGAGTCGTGCTCATTTCTAAATATCAAATATCATGCTATTATGGGGAAATTAAGCTCATACTGTTAGAAATGCTGATGTTAATTCTAAATTTTACCCATGCAACCGTCTGCTAATCTATGAAATTGTGTTAATCTTCCTGCTGTTCTGAGTGGTTTAACTTGGCATCCTTGTATCTCATTTAATCAGCTCATGGTACTGTTAGCATGTTCTTCTGAAATGAGGAGAATGCTATGGGATTTCTCTGTGGCGCTTGTGATTTTCATTATTTAAAGTGGTTTTTAACAGCTACTACGATGTGTTATAGGACAGAATTGCAAGGAAGTTAATAGCTTTTAATCTCCCTGCTTCCAGTGTTTAGATGAGTTGACTTCTATGGAGTTACTGCTTCATTGAACTAGTCTGACAACTGTGTGTTAACCAAAAGAAAAATAATAGTTCGGAATGACTGACCTTTCACAAATAAATGTCTCTGTCCTACTATGCTTCAAGATAAACTAACACTGGGACAAAACTGAAAGGAGTTTTAGAGGAAACTGTGATCTGTTCTAGGGACTGAACACTGTATGTAGTTGATATGAATTAAATGTTAATTAACTCATTCTTCAATGATAATTGTACATGGTGTTGTCAGAAATAATGTGGTTCAGGAGGTTAGAAGATTAAAGGACAGAGAATTCTGTTTTGGAATTGAGTATGAACTGAAAAAGTTTAAGCTAAGGCAGATGTCCAGAGGTAAATGAAGTAAATTTTTCTGGAAAGCTTAAGATGTTGGATCGACCTTTCCCACTGGAATGCTGGATAATGCTTTATCCATATGTAAAGCTGTATGGTGAATAATATTTCCCCTGAAAGTTTTTAGTCTGCTTTCTATGTAGTTTTGTTTTGTAATATAAGTTAGGGTTGGGGTTTTTTTTTATTGATGAAACCGCAATGAAAAACTTCAAGCATGCCAGCATACTCAAATGCATTTCCTTATAACTTCTATTCTCAATGGTATCCTTCATTTATCATACAAAGTGCAAACACTGGAAGTAGGATTTATCATTTCTGAGTAGTAGAATGATGTTTAAATACTGTCTTTGTCAATACAGCATTCTTGAATAATGGCATTTTGAGTAACTTGATAAGTATCCCAGACCTTTGTGATTGCCCATAAGTCATGTTAGCAAATGCTATACCTATGCTGTTCTAGTAACGGGTTTGCATTTCTAATTCAAGTGTATCTTAGCTTCATCTAACAAATGATGGAATGTTCCTTTTTTAGGTCCGTAAAATCATCCGTGTCTGCAAAGGAATATTGGAATATCTGACTGTGGCGGAAGTAGTAGAGACTATGGAGGATTTGGTGACATACACAAAGAATCTAGGGCCAGGTTTGATTTGCTACAGCCTGTCATAAACATACTTACAGTATTTTCCACTACTTTTTTAACCCGCAGCACTTTCCTTACCCATGTTTTCAGTGTTCAGACAATCAGAAAGCAGTTGCTTAGAAAGTGCCTGTTAGAAAGAGTTCTAAACTAGAGGGTTAATGATTACTGTTTTCTGATTCACATTCTCTTAAGAATGCAGAAGAGTGTGTAAATGATATGTGTAGTTGGTAAATGGATATGTACTACACAGATGATATGTAGTTTCCCTACTCTGGAAGTAAGCGTGTGTTAGTAAAACAAAACAAGAAAAAGCTTTGTAATTAAGCACTCACAGCTGTAAAGTCCCCTAAGCTGATAAAATGTCTGTACTGAGATGGTTTGGCCTAGTAGGAATTCCCTAGAGTAGTATAAGCTACATGTCATATATTAGCATCTTAATGAGGTTGCAGAAATAACTGTTCTGCAGTACTACAAAAGCCCAGCTGTTACAGAAGTGCGTTTTGTTCATTATTTGATACTTCTTAAGTGTGCTAACTTATACTTGTGCTGGTAAAAGTGATTGGTCAGTGTAGCACTGGGTTGTTGTAGATGAAACCTACCATTAATCTCAGTCGTTTAGTACTCTAAATGCTTTAATTTCAGCAAGCATAAGGTAGTTTAGGTATTTAACAAAAGCATTCTATAAAGTCTAGATGCTATGGTAACGTAGGAAGATGTTTAAAATAAAATTACACTGAACTGAAGAGGGCCTCTATATACACAGAGCAGGAATCTTGTTAGTGCTTTACATATATAAATAAGAATACATATGTAGTGTAAAATAAGAGGAATTACTAAGAGCTCTCATGTACAGAGCATGTTTATAGATTATCTTGTTTTTATTTAATATTTATGTATTTTACCCTGTTTCTAGATGTGAAAAATTTTAAGTTCAATATGAAGGTATAGTGTTCTCCAAACATTTTTTTTACGTCCCATGAAAAGTTGTCTTCAACTAAATAGATTTTGCCTCATTTTGAACAGGAAAAGATGAAGCAAAAAGAGCAATCTTTCTGTGAAACTTGTTCACTAAAGCAGTCATTCAGGGTATTTTCCTGTTTTATTGCTGGGATGTAAAATCAAGAATTTTGAGGAGTCCATTCTACTTTGTGTACTGACTAGGTTTTGAATCAGTGGCTTCTTTGAAGCATCTGGAATGTGCTTTTAAGTAACAGCTGCTATTATAAAGATTTAGTTTTAAATTTCAATATAGTCATAACTCATTACATTTTGTTCTTGTTCAGAAAGCTCAACTGTTGCAAATTAGAGTTAGTCATAAAAAAAGAAATGTAATATGTTCTGTTACTTTAATCTTTAGGAATGACAAAGATGGCCAAAATGATTGATGAGAGACAACAGGAATTAACTCATCAGGAACATAGGGTTATGCTGGTAAACTCCATGAATACCGTGAAGGAGCTATTGCCAGTACTTATTTCAGGTATTTTTGGCTTTAATTTTAGTATCACTCTGAATTGCTGTCTATTTTGAACAGGAGTTCCAAAATTTTATTAAAAATAATAGTCCTGACATTGTTTCTGTACTTACGGCAAATAACTTTCCTTCTTGTATAAAATCTACAGTCTCTTTGAGATAAAATGGTTCACACAAAAGAAAATGTGCTCTCTCTGTATATATGCAGCAGGAGGTCACCTTGAGCATTGATTGTATCTTGCATGTGCCTTTTTTTTAATCGATGGTGTTTTCACAGCTATGAAGATTTTTGTAACTACAAAAAATTCTAAAAGTCAGGGAATAGAAGAGGCCTTGAAAAATCGCAATTTCACTGTCGAAAAAATGAGTGCCGAGATAAACGAAATAATCCGTGTGTTACAACTCACTTCCTGGGATGAAGATGCCTGGGCGAGCAAGGTAGATTTCATACCTATGTTGGTCTATAGAAGTCTTAATTTTTATCTACTATGTTATACACTTATAAACTTGTGTTTTAGAGGCTTGAAATACATATTTGTGCATCAGTTTTGTAACACTATGTAATTGCATCGTAAAATATCTTCAAGGTCGAAAAACATCTTCAGAGATGATTGTATTAATGTATCTTTCAAAGTCAGCTTTCAATAAGCTAGGTTAAAGGAGCGTGGCATTTGAAGGTGACTCAGTGGTTTACTGAAACTGAATAGTCAAACAGAAGATGTAGATCTGTTCATGGTTTAGTTTCGGCATGACTAGGAAATCCTGGAATATAGCATATTCCTCTCAGAAGGATTTTTTTTCCCCTATGTATAGCTACCATACACAATCATATTTGGCACAGGCAAGTTAGAGATAAAAGTTATTGTTCTATATATTAAGCTGGTCTTGTAGCTAGGCATTCGTAAGTGAGATTACCCGAGATTTTTCTCCTATATGCTACTAGAAAAGATAGGCTGCTGCCATATTTCTTGTGCAAAAGGCCTGAAGTTAAGAAAATTTAGTTAATTTTTGTGGATCCCTCCTTGAACATCACCCCCTTTTCTGCCTGCCCCATTTTTAGCCTGGACATAGGAGTAAATTTCAAGTGTTTGCCTTGTCTCAAAGAAATGTATTTTAGACTGAACAACTTTTCTGGGTAAGTAGGATGTCTATGAAGCTTGGCATATGGACAGTATTGCTTCCTTACAACTCAGTGTTAAGCTGTGGAAGTGACTGCAACCACTTACCTGGAGTTAAGTGGTGTTCTCAAGTGGTTCCCACTGAAGATACTGAAATGTCTAGACATAAAGCAGGTCTGACAGAAGGGTAAAAGTGTTCTTATGGGCTTACATATAAATGTAATAAAAAGCTGCATAATTGAAATTCCTGCCAATTTTTTTTTGAGTGCCTTGGAAGTGAATTGCTGAAGGGATTATTTTTTTAAGGGTTAGTGCTATGAGCAACAAGTAACTGTAAATACGTGTAAAGAAAATACTGAGACCTGAAGCCAGACTTCTTAACAAATAAGATCTTGCAGAAAATCTAACATCGATGTCATCTAGGCATTAAAATCACTTTGACCTATATTGTTTGGCACTTGACCCTTAGTTTGTCTCTTGAGTTATTTTGTCACTATCACTTCTTTATTATGACTACTTCATGCATCTTTGTTTTTGTTCTTCTGTTTGTTACCCTTTCCTCACCTTTAGAAGGTAAGTTTTCTTCCACACCCTACACCTCTACCCTGTACTAAATCCAAAAAAGCATGATTTTGTGCAGTGTGCAGACTGTGTGCTGTGCAACTTTTTATTTGTGTGCCAGCTGTTGACACCATACTTACGTATATACACACAGAAGTTTTAAAAGGATCTTGTTAGTTCTGGCTAGCTATATGTCGATTTGGATGTCACTAAAAGAATGGTAATTGCAAGCTGAGCTGCATCAAGACTATCCTTCTGAGTCTGATTAGTTAGCCCAAGATCGTAGAGCACATTTTTCTTACTGAATGCTTTTGTGTTAATTTATGTTACTAGTCTCTGTAGCTACAAATAAAGGATCCAGTCATGCAGGAATAAACATTCTGCATGCCCAGAAAGCTTTATTAAATCAGGGATTTTGCCCATTCCATAGTGTTTCACCAGCAGCCTTCCTTCAGTTCAAATGGCTTGTGTTCTTCAGGTCTAGGCCTAAAACTTTAGTTTTGTTTACGCATTTTTTTCAGTTCAGTTTTATTTTTGGATTTAAGCATTTTATGAAATACAAATACAATTTTTATTTTACATAACAAACCTGGAATTTTTTTTCTGTGGTAAAAAACCTGACTGTTGCAAAAAGTTAGCAATTTAGTCTTGGGAAATTTTACTCCTTTTGCTAGCAAGGCAGATAAAAAAAGGATTTTATTAAGAAAATAGTTGGTGTATTAGCAGTGTTTCCAAACAGAAAATATTGATCATTATACATAATGCATGAATATGTTGTGTGGACTAGTACAAACAAAGTATCTTTCTGCTCTGAGTTGAGAACTACTCAATTGTACATGGTTTTTGAATTAAGGTGTGCTGACAATCTGGAACTCTAGCAGTGGGTATTAACCAAAAAGTTATGACAAAGAATTTGAATTGAAAAATGCAGTGAAATGAAAAAGTGGGAAGTGGTTTTGCTAACGGCCACCTATTATAGACCTTTTTCCCATATGTGCATAAATATCTAATGGGTTGACTTACTCAGTGTTTTCCGGAAGGGAGATGGAGGAGCTGTTTAATTCTACCTGAGATTACTATTGCATTCCTTTTGTGCCTGGCGGTCAAGGGAAAGATATATTCCTCGTGCTTTTCTGGGCAAAAATAAGGTGTATTTGGGGATGTGCAGCCTTGAATTTTTACCTGTGTAGTATATGCTATTGTTGGTGAAGTTTATGTTTATTATTATATCTTGAATTGTTTATACATTGAAGTATCACAAAATCGAAGTAGAGACAGTGGAGAATGAACAAGTGTATGGGGCCAGAGTTGCAGGTTTTTTTGTGAAGTATTATGTTGGTCTTTCTAGTTTCTGAAATGCACGCTACTGTTACTGGATTGCAATAATCTCTGCTTGTACCAACACTGGATTTTTTAAAGGTAGTATGCTTATTCAGAATTGCAATACTGAGCAAATGCCAATCTCTGACAAAAGCTCGGAAGGAAAAAAAAAATAAATCTATATTTATTTCTTCCATTCATGGCTTTGTACCTTTTATCTTTGAACTTTTAATTTTACAGAGGAGTTTAATTTTCTCTTGTATATTCTTAGTGGTTATTTTCAAATAAACTTGAAGTAATACTCAATTTAATCATCTTCCATTTCCATAGAAATGGAGGGAGTTAAAAGTTGTAGGAAGCTGAGAAGTATCTAGCATCTTCCAGGATTGAATGCTGAGTGGTGACTAAGCTATCTCTTCTGCCAGAAGGCTGGCTTTGCCTATTTCCTTCAACATTGCCTTCTTTGGTAATGAAATGCAGTTATTGCTAGACTAGACCACTTTATTGAGCCAGAGATTGTGTATTATATTCAACAAGGGATTGTGTAGGATTTATTTTGCTCCTTTTCAAAGCAGTGCCAATACTACCTGCTCCGTGAATAATCTCAAAATTCTTGGTAGTGGCCAAAGTGATGCATATGGCTATCTTGAGTAAGTGCTCATTAGCTTTGGGAATTGATTTGCAAAAAGCCAACTTGCTCTTTTCCCTTCAGATAAATTTTTGTTAGTTGTTCAACTTAAGTTAATGAAATTCTTTCTCTCTTCTGAAAAGCTAGCAATGCTGCTTTTGTTAATGAAATTCCTTTTACCGACAGGGCAACTGCAGGGAGAGGAGGGAAAGAATCCTTTTTTGCTGATAAAACTACTCTATATAAAACTTCTTGCAAGATAACTGTAGAATTTTTTCTTTTCTTGCTTGCAACTGATATTCTGCTGGCGAATACCAAAAAGTAAATTTTTAAACACATTTAGCTGTTTAGGAAGGAAGGAGGCATGTAAACAGCTCCAGAAATCGGGAATATCAAGGCACTTTCAAACAGTAAGATCTTGAGCAAGTTGCTTTGTTTAAATTGTTTCTGCTTTTGTCTTCCTATTTAATATGAATTGGTGGACAAGTCCAGACATTTCAGGATTGCTACACCTTTGTTGCCAATTATCTGATACCAGATGCAGCTGTGGCAGAAACAGAAGTGCAGTACAAACAAACTTTGTTAAAAATGTGTTCTAATTTCTGATTTAAAAATTACTCTTCTTATTGCAATGGAAACTTCTTATCAGACTAAAGCTGAGAGGGATTCCTTGCCATGGCATTTTGAGCTGTGTGGATGGGAAATCTGTGCTTTAAGAGCAGTTGTCCTGGAACTCTTCCACTACTGCACTAGGATTTCATCAAACTTTTTTAAATAAGGGGCCAGTATTTTGCAAACATGAGTGTAGAGCCAAACAAGATAGCAAGATTTACATTGCAGAGCAGTCCAGTTATATAGCCCTCATATGGTAGGGCAGATGGATCCTGTTATAGCTTGCACAGCATTAGAAATTACAAAATCATGAGTCTAGAAGTTAAAATATCCTTGATTTTGTCCCCTGATATGAAACTTTAGATTCAGAGGCTTCTCTATAATTTTGCTGAAACTGCAACTCTGCAGGTAGCTTAGACAACACAAAAGCCTGTGTTGGTAAAAAGGGAGGGGCAAAGATGATTTTCCCAACACTCTTTTTCTCAGCCGTCCCACACCTATGAACTCATCAACACACTAAGCAACATCTGCTGCCTTTTTAAAAATTCAGATAGTTCTTTGTTTCAAATTATTTCTGGTTAGACAGGCCTACGCTAGACCAGAAAACTGTAACACTTTCGTTGCTAGGAAGGTTTATATACATACTTGAATACTGAAGTGATTATTTACTTGTCTCCTATCGTATATTAAATGCACAGTTGTAAAGCTGTAGAGAAGGTGACTTCTAAAAGAATATGCCCACCTCTCACCCCTAGCTGTATATCATACCCTTCTGAAGTTTTTTCAGGTCCTGACCTAAGCTCCGAGACCGACTTTCTAGATTTGAGAACCAATCATCCAGGTGAAAGTGATTCTGCTTTTGGTGCTCTTTCTGGCTGTGATTCAACAGTCCTTAAAACTATCCAGTAGAGTGTTGCATGACCTTTTAGGAAGTTGGTTGCTGAATTATATTGTAGCACCTTATGAATAGCTGGCAGACCAACATGCCTGAACAAAAATGCCAAAATGTTTACACTGCTGTATCTTTGAGGTTAAGCATGCAGAATGAACAACTCCAGAAAAATGGGGCAGGTCTTCAGTGTTGTGAGGATATCACGTGCTATACCAGATGCATGTAAGACCTGGACATGGACAGTTCAATTCAGTTAATAGCGTAAGAGGCAGGGTTCTTTTCGTCATTTGTATACTAATAGTGGGATGTATGCATTTCAAATAATTTCCATGATGTGTGGTAAAAAGCTATTTTGGCTTTTTCCCAACTTTCTACTTAAGGTACTTGTTACTCTTTTCACCATCTTTCCATTTGCAAGATAGAAAACTTCTGGCCTCTAGTGGAGAGATGGCACATGTACCATTAGCAGAGTATGCAGAGAAATGAGAAATGGATGGTTTTATCTCCTCTAGTGAAAGACATGTTAGATAATAGCAGCATAATAGCCAAACAGCAGTTTCTCTGATGCTCCTGGCAGAGGGAATTCTGAGTTTAAAGCAACCACATGTGAACACATTTGTCTGTCTCCTAAGAAATTAAATTCCATATTTGAGAATTCCAGGAATTAGCTGGCAGTCTATTTTTCTGCAAACAGCAACTCTTTGGCTTTAAGCAGCAGAGCAGGTGAAAAATGCAGATGTGCAGCCTCTTACACTGAAGTAAGTAGTAAAATTTGCTGGCCAACTGCCATTTTGAAAAGTTACTCTACTGTCATTGTTACAATGTTATGTGCCCTAATGTACATTAAAGAAAAAAGTGGAACTAACTCCCAAGATGTGTGCATATTAGAATTCTGACTTTAGAAATTACAACACTAGTAAATAAAGGAATAGAAAAATCACTAAAATTGCATGTGTATTTCCTGCATTTTGAGTGAGATGAGAATGTCTGTCTTAATTGGAAAGATGTGACTATGACCTGCTGGTTTGAAAATGGGTTTTGAGCTGCTTATATGGGTGTGTTTCTCTAAGTAGACTTTGGTTTATAGAACTTCTATCTGCTTTGGTTGTGTTGACTATTTGTGCTTTGATTTTTTTTTTTTGAGAATCATTTTTGTGATTTCTGTTTTGTAAAGGACACAGAAGCCATGAAAAGAGCTTTAGCCTTAATAGATTCAAAGATGAATCAGGCAAAGGGTTGGCTGAGAGATCCAAATGCACCTCCAGGTAATATTTAAAAACAACAGCACAAAGTATTTTGTTTTTTGAAGGTCTGAATAATTCTGTTGTTTAAAACAAAATTGCCTTTAAGCATTAATAACCCATACATAGTGGATCAATCTGAAAGAGCCTGTGTTTACTCCTTTCTTTAGATCCTGGAGATTAAACAAGTTGTGTCTAATGATCTGGAAACCTTTGCTTCTTTTCAGTTATCTGATTAATATACTTGATAACTAACGTACATGGTTTTTCTTTGCATTCCACAAATAAAAACAAAACCCCATACATTTCATTGAACAGTATTTAACTGCAGTGGTTGCCAATACCTAAAATCCCTCCTTTTATATTTTCAAATTTGTGTAACTTTAGATTTGCCCAAGAGAATCTCTTTAACCATTTTTCTGTAAGGCTTGACATAAATTTTTAACATGAAAATCTGCCATAAATAATGTAACTACAGTCACTACCACATAAATGCTTTGCCTTTGTATGCATCTTTAAAGCAAATAAAACCAGGTAGAGGCCTGTTCCATTTGGAAAATTTGAAAGACCTTATTTGAAAGACTTTCTCTGAAATTGAAGCCAAAATAATACAGTTGTAAAAGTTGGAAGTGAATTGTTGGTGTCTGTGGAGTTCCTGCTTACACTACTTCTGACCTCACTCTGCTTACCACACTCGATTCCAGAAACCTCAGTTATTTTCAAAGCCTTCTGTCACTGGCGCTGACAGTTAATGAAATAAACTATTAGAAAATCAGTAGCTAAGGACAAATGCAAAGATAACTGTAGAACTTACTGCAAATTGGGTTTATTACTTATGGGATCAGAGTGGGTTGCAAGTAAGAGGAATGTGTTCTTGCATCTTTTTCAGCCAAAATCAAGTCAGATTTGCAACTGGCCAAAGTTAAGGCTGCATGAATCTCGCTGCATTGCTCTTTCCCATATCATCATGAATTACAGATTCTGTAAATGAAGTATTTATAGAAATGAAGCTATGGTAGCAGAATGATTAAAGGACTTGAAATGCAATACACATGATGCACATTAAAGTTATGCTATATGATTTCAGAAATGATGTCCCATTATAATTATCACATTTGGTGTATGTCATAGTTTTTTATAAATGTATTTTCGTAGCTGAACCTAATGCAGGTGATGTAGTGGGACATGATGAGACTAACAGCTTACTCATACATGTTGAGGAATGTCTGGTTTGTTTTACTAACTGACTCTGCATCTTAGGGGATGCTGGTGAGCAAGCAATAAGGCAGATCCTTGATGAAGCTGGAAAAGCAGGAGAACTGTGTGCAGGCAAAGAACGCAGAGAGATTCTGGGAACATGCAAAACTCTGGGCCAGATGACTGATCAACTGGCTGACCTCCGAGCGAGGTAAATCATTTACTTTCAATGGACAGTTTTTCCTGAACTTGCAGTTGTGTCACTTCCTAACCTGTGGGAGAGCAGGCCAATAGTTGTATTTTGCCTCTTTTACTTCAGTGTTTTCTGATAAGAATAATATGTTTTAATATGTGAGATATTAATTATATATTGTAATAGGTAAAACTGCTCAGGTAAATAATTCAGTGTTTGTTTAAGGTCAAACACATGATCTTCCTCCAAATAAGGCAGAAATGAAATTTTAAACTCTACTGTTAAGTCTATTCTCCAAAGAGGGTATACCTCAATGACCATAAAGATATATGAATAGTCTAGTTTTACGTGTTTAGTTGGGATTTTAGACCACAAGCAGGATTTGAAGTTTACCAGTCACTGATAAATTCTGCTGAACTTCATGTGCATTTCTCGCATAGAATTTTATTTAACCAGAGCCCTTCATCAGTTTTCTGCCTCCTCATTAGAAATTGGTTATTCTTTCATAATGGTGTTTTGAATTTAAGGGGTTTTGTTTTTAGGCACCAGATGACTCTCTTTAAATTTACTGTATTTTTTCATGTTGGGTCCTATAGCCTTTTGTTTTTTGCCAGAAAGTAGGAAGTATGATATTCTTTTGTGAAGGCATGAAGACGATGAGCTAAAATAACTGTTCTGCATAGCTTGAACACCATAACCCAGTTTCCCTTGAGTATAATAATTGTTTCAGATGCTTATCAATGTAGTAAATCGTTCAGCTAGAATGCTCTAACATTGGTTTCTTTATTTTGGTGTTATACTCCTTCCCACCTCCTAAAAACACCTCAGAGACCTATTCATTGTGATCCATTAGGGATACTGGTAATAGGTTTGTGTTATAATATTTCTCTCTTAAATATTCATGTGTCTTTCAAATTGGCTTTTAGGTAAAATAAATGTCCCTTCTGAATTAAGGCCCTAGTGAAGTGTGGGAAGTGAGCAAACACAAATTATTTGGAGAACTGTGTTTTGAGTTACTTTAAGAACAAATTCCCTGCCATCACTTTAAATCAATAGACTGCCAGGCTCTAAAGTGTTGCCATGCTATGTACACAAGCTTGGAGTAGTTCTATGACTTGTTTCTATGAAGGGTTGTTAGTTCGCTGTATAAAGGCTCAAAAGGCCAAAATTCAGAAATACTTATTATATTGTCACTATAGGAATGTATATTAGTTATAATAGTGGTAATGGATGAGAAGCTGGTTGTAGATCATCTTCACTTGCGTTTCCAGCTGATTGACCTGAGAGAATGTAATAGCTTCTTTGTACCAGATTTTGCACAGAGCGTTAGAAATTAGGATAAACTCTTACTCGTAAAGCAGTGGCTGGTGTCAGCTTTGTTTTGTGTGAAATTTTTGGAGGTGAAAGAAGAGGCAGGATAACAAAGGAGTTAATTTATATGTTGTTTTAATATGTAAATAACTTCAGTGCAGCCTGTATAAAGAAACATATCTTGAGACTCTGGCATGTGTAAATACACGTTAGCATCTCAGTAGCATGCTTGTCATCCTTCCACTTACTATGATCTTTGCAAAGTTAGCAGTTTGATAAAGTTAACCTGTTCAAAAAGCCTCCCAGTAGCCAGGTTATTTTGGAATAGAGTATGACATTTTTTATGCAAAACTTATGTTCTCAGACATGTGTATTTAAAGTAAACTTTTCTGTCCAACTTGTAATTCCTAAGCATTTGAATTAACTGTGGTAGTGCTGCAAATTGTTTCCTATGGTATTGCTAGCATCCTTTTCATCATTTAAAAAGTCTTGCCAACAGCCTGTAAACTGTAATCTACTTTGTCAACATGATTGAGGCAACTATGACATCTTATTTTCACTTACAGACTTGCTGTCCTCACTTAGATAGTGGCGAGACATAACTCCTGCAGGTTCTGATTGACTTGCAGCAATCTATAAATGAGGAGATAACAGGCCTTGCCCTGGGTATTTTAATGGAACTGTATCCTCAAATAACCTTACTTTATGAAACTTAAATATTTCCATTCTTCTGAGGAATTCTGGAAAGGGGAAAATACCCTGTTCTTGTTGCGGTGCTCATTCTTAGTTGCTTCTGTTTTCTGAGGGGAAAAAACCAATCTGATTGAATACTGTATTTCTTGCAAAAATTGCTGGGAATGCTTTTAAAAGTTTTTGTTTAGGAAAAAGAGTTTTGTTCAATCCTGAGCTGAATCTGTGATGCTCTTTTTGTCTTGGGCAGAGGACAGGGTGCTACACCCATGGCTATGCAGAAAGCGCAGCAGGTGTCACAAGGTCTGGATTTGCTCACTGCGAAAGTGGAGAATGCAGCCCGCAAGCTGGAGGCCATGACAAACTCTAAGCAGGCAATTGCTAAGAAGATCGATGCTGCTCAGGTACCACTAATGATTTAATAAATCCTTCAGAACATGGTTACATTACTGCTATTAGAGCTGTTGTACTGAACTGTTGTCGTTGTTTTCAAACACAACACAGACACTTGTTAGGAAGAACATATAGGGGATGTTTGGTTTTTCGAACAAAAATCTTCAGTAATTTACAGGGTCCTGCATGTTTTGCTCCAGCTTATGACCCTTTTTCATAATTTTTTTAGCACTGCTAAAAGTTTCAAGGTTGTGAAATTAATATGAGGAAATGCCCAAAATTTGGACATAGATTGATCTTACTAAAGAGGCGTTTCAGACTGCATAGATTAACTGCGGGTAAAACCAGAGCCCTTTCCTTGGGCTCTGTTTTGGGTGTGGAGTTCAGGATTTAGAACTTCATATTCATGAGAAAATCAAAACAATGTTAATAGAACTCTTTCTTTTAGTTGATCCTTTATTATTGTAACTCTTAATCTTTCTCCCTATCACCCAGTGCTGGTGATGGTCATCAAATTATGAACCTTCTATATATACCTTATCTGAATATGTGTATGTGTATCTGTCGTGGTTTAAGCCCAGCCGGCAACTTGGAACCACGCAGCCGCTCGCTCACTCCCTCCCTCTTCCTTCCTCCCCCCGCTCCCGGAGGGATGGGGAGGAGAATCAAAGGAATGTAAGTCCCACGGGTTGAGATAACAGCACTCCAGTAACCAAGGTATAATACAAACCACTACTGCTACCAATAACAATGATAAGAGGAATAACAAGGGAAAAGGACACAACCGCTCACCACCCGCCAACCGATACCCAGCCCGACCCGAGCAGCGATCTGGGCCTTCCGGGTAACTCCCCCCAGTTTATATACTGGGCATGACGTGCTGTGGTATGGAATACCCCTTTGGTCAGTTTGGGTCAGGTGTCCTGCCTCTGCTTCCTCCTGGCTTCCCCTCCTCTCTGGCAAAGCATGAGACTGAGAAAGTCCTTGGTCAGAGTAAACATTACTGAGCAACAACTAAAACCATCGGTGTTATCAGCGTTGTTCCCAGACTGAAAGTCAAAAACACAGCACTGCACCAGCTACTAAGAAGGAGAAAAAATGACTGCTGTAGCTGAACCCAGGACAGTATCATAATTATATAGAGGTACATTAATATTATATATGTTGAACAAGATTATGATGAGACTTTTTAGGAAGAGCTCTGTAAAGAGTGCCACCCTGTGCACAAGAGCATCTGTTTTCTTTTTGAAAGCCAGATAATGAGTCTCTAAAGCCACTAGTTTAATTATACTTCTGAAAATACTGTTGGCAAATGTTGGGGAGGGAATGTAAAATCTTTGGGTAGATTTCATCTAGTGTGACATCTTTTTCAAAATAGAAAATCTGCCAGACAAAAGAACAACTTCATGGCTGCTAATAAAGAGAAACTGCTTTTGAAAAGTATTTTCTGTTAAGTACAGTTTTGAAAGCTGTATTGGTATTTCTTTTTGTTTAAAGTCTCTATAGAAATAACATTACTGATTATCTTCACTCATACATAAATTCTTTATATTAAGAACTGGCTTGCAGATCCCAATGGGGGCAGTGAAGGAGAAGAACATATCCGGGGAATTATGGCTGAAGCAAGGAAAGTTGCAGAGTTGTGTGAGGAGCCTAAAGAAAGAGACGATATCCTTCGTTCCTTGGGTGAAATCTCTGCTTTGACAGCCAAGCTGTCAGATCTGCGACGACAGTATGTATATCACCATTAATATGTTTGAATGATCTTAATTTGCAGTTCAAGGTGTTGAACAAATCAGAATATTGATTGGGGAATATGTTTTTCTCCAAGAACTGTGAATGGACATCTTGTACTTCTGAGCTTCTGTATTGCATTTAGTAAAAATTGAATGCCAAGAATTGCAGGGTGTAGGACAAGGAGATAACTTTTTAACATCCTTAAAAAAATGTAATTTGTAAAATATATATCTGTTTTGAAGCTTTAACCTTATGATTTCTATCCCAAAGCCCAACTTGCACTATCTTCCTCAAAAACAAAATACACACAAAAACCAAAGCCAAAACCCAACCCCCTTCCTCCCTTTCATGCCCCCAAAAAACCAACAAAAATATAGTGTGTAATTAGATTTGTATTACATAAGAAATATTTTCTTTCTACTACTTGTGGAATATTTAACAGGCAAACTGGAGCCAAAAGTGGGCTCATTTGTATTGTCAAAGCACTTCAAATAAAGGAGATAATGTGACATTTAAAGTTTGTTTATTTAGACAAATGTCATCACTGCTTTTTGCTAAGCAATTTACTAAATGGCAAGGTGAAAAACCTACTACTTCAGTCGGTGTCATTGTTCTAAGCTGTAAATGCAAAATATATAAAAGATAAGACTTTCAGAAATTACATTTCTGCATCAGTTTTGCAAAGATGATGCTTGATAATGGAAGTGGAGAAACAGTTACTGTATAAATTGTGATCTTCATCTATGACCTATCGCAATACATATAGAAATATTTTTCTTCATGAGTTAGACACTTTAATCAAGTTTTCCTTGAGGTTTAGCTGCTGCAGATCTTAAGGTGCTATCTTTTTTCAGGTTTATATATAGCCTTGGTCCTGCTGCTGCTTACTTTTCTGCTTGTAATCTGTGTGGCATTATTGCAGTTGCTCGTAAGACAGCATGTGGGAAATCAAAGTCATACACTGGTATTACCAATGACAGTACCATGCCTTCCCCCACCTCAGTGCTGGGTCGAGCATATCTAATATCTAGGTTCCACAGCAGGGAAGTGTGAGATGGGGATTTATGGATGACAGATCTGCATTATTTGCTCTGAGACCTGAGTGTCAAATTTAACCTTATTTAAAAAGATGAAGTACCTTTCATTGTGTGTTCCTGCTATGTAAATGATCTTTGTGTGACTATGCTTTTTTTAATCCTTAGTGGGAAAGGTGACTCTCCTGAGGCCCGTGCATTGGCTAAACAAATAGCTACATCACTTCAGAATTTACAGTCCAAAACAAACAGGGCTGTAGCAAATACTAGGCCAGTTAAAGCAGCTGTCCATTTGGAGGGCAAGATTGAGCAAGCTCAAAGGTGGATAGACAATCCTACAGTTGCTGATCGGGGAGTAGGTAAGTGTATCTGTGTGCTCTTCCCACCACATTTCATGGTTAAACATGTTAGGAATTTTTAGGGCTGAAACTACTGCTCCTGAGAATGCTGAAGATGCGTGGCATCTCATCACCGGTGTGGAGACCTGCAGTTTGTGGGTGGAAGTGTATAGCCAAATCCTGGCTGCAATATTATTGAATCAGGCTTGCCCATGGTTTTCTTTGTCTTCTGGAAAGATCAACTTTGGTGAAGAGTAGAACGTGTGCTGTAGAACAGACAAATTTTAGACTTCTCCTTGCTCTTATTATCATGCAAATATACTATCTCATATTTGAATTTATACCTACCCCAGCAAATTGAGTAATTTAAGTCCTTCAGAGAGGAGAAAAACATTCATAAGCCTGACCTACAAATTATCACTTCTTGTATGGTTTCTGGGTTATCTGAGGAGAATGCTCTTTAATCAAAGAGAAAGGTGATCACATAATCCAAGCGTGCTATCAGCAAGCATATAATTATGGTTCAGGAGTCACTTTAATGAGAGGTTATTGTAAACCATTTCTGAATTTGTTTGTTTAGCTTCTTTTAATGCTATTGCAAGCAGGTGGATAAAGCTTGAAAACTGGGTTTTTATAGCAGTTAATTCTGAGCAGTGTAGTTACACTGGAGCCGTGCAATTGATAACAATGGGTGAAAACAGGCCTTATACGAAGTAATATAACTGTAAAACTTTCCTACCTCTTTCTCACACCTTATCTGTCAAGATAACTGCTGTTGTGTGAATAACCAATGACAGATCCTTGAATTAAAGATTGAGTGATGCTGATAGCTTGGACAGTTGTGAAATGCAAATTTACATGTAATATTTCGAACAGAATAGTGGAGTTCCATGTTTTGACACTTGCTGAGGAGGAAATTTCGCACAGAATGAGGTGACCAAGAAGGTGGCAGATAGGTTTTATGATGTATTTTGACAGTGACTGAAAACCTTCTCAAATTTGATGTTTGTCTTGAACACAGTTACCTGTGAGACGGTTGGATCAAAAAAGCACAAAACCTAAACTCAGTTTTTATTGTGTTTAATTGAAAAAGCCACAAAAGTAACTTAATCCCCCCTTGAAGTCTGTAAGTGACTAGTTAATCATGAGGCTTGCATAAATACTGAAAGCTTGCTGAAGGAATTGAAGTTTCTCAACACTGGATATATACTACAGAATATAAACCAGAGATGCACTCTCGTCAGCGTGGACAGCACTTGTGGTAGAGTTTGGCCTGGTATTTTCATTGCTATGATAATACTTCAGTGTTCTCTGTAGTACTGACGACCATGTCACAAATAGCTGTGTGTGTGCAGTTATCCCAGGGCAGTGCTTCAACACAAACAGAATTTTGAAGTAACAAGGCAGAATGTGTATTTTGTTTTATAAACATGTCAGCCACTTCGGTAGCATGGGCTGCTACAGATATGTACATGCAGTCATATTATGAACTGTGCTATCTAAGTGATGGCTAAAGTAATTTTAATTGGCAGACACAAACAAGGCAAGATGTACTGAAATATAAACTGGTGTGTGAAATGCACTGGCTTGGCTGCACTTGATTGATACAAAACAACAATTAAAACACATCTTGGGACATTGCAGCAGCACCAAACTTAGATACAATAATAAGCTCTCTAAAATGGTGGTGGCAGTGCTGAGTGATTCTTTCATACTCGGGTCCTGTGACAACTTCCTTCTAAGTGATTTTGAACTTGATCATGAACTTGGATTACCTGTGTGTTGGCATTGGCTTAGAATGATTCTTCAGTAGGTCTTTAAAGGACTTAATATAAGATGACTTCCTTTAAAAGAATACTATTATGTTAATGAAAGAACAGAGGAACATATTCTTGTGAAAGAACAGGAAGCTTCTGTGAGTGAATGAAGGAAATCACTCATGCTAAAAATAACTTTTTTTACAGAAAAACTTTTGGCACACTGTGGAGGCTTTGTAAGGTGGTTCTTCCCTCCATATTCCTCCTCCTCAGACTCTTGACACTTCTTACCCATGATTTTTGGAATCCTGAGAAAGGGTATTCTGCTTTGTCATTTGGGTTTTTTACTTGGGTTTTCTCTGCTCTTCCTGCTCATCTTCTAATGACTTGTAGTGATGTGGAGATGAATTGCAGTACTTAGAATTTGCAAATGCATTTTATTGGAGTCAACAGATTAGTAGTGTAGGAATGCCTGATAATGATAATGGTTAACTTCTGTCAGACACCCCTAGTTAAAAAGGCTACATCTAGCCAGAGTTGCTGTAATAAGCAAAAGAAACTGGTGAGAGTTGAATCTCTCTATGGGTTTGAACTGCAGTCATTCAATGATAAACTGCAGAAGATCCTATCTACTACCTAGGAAGGTGTTTTTAAAGGCAGAATTCTGAAGTGTCACTTCATGGGGCATTTGATTTATGCTTTCATTTTTTTGTTCCACTGTATGTTAATGCAACATGACTTCTTCCACTGTAGGCCAGGCAGCAATTCGGGGTTTGGTGGCAGAAGGTCGTCGTTTAGCCAATGTCATGATGGGACCTTATCGTCAAGACCTGCTTGCCAAATGTGACCGTGTAGACCAGCTGGCTGCTCAGCTGGCTGACCTCGCAGCAAGAGGGGAGGGAGAGTCTCCTCAGGCCAGGGCAATTGCTGCTCAGCTTCAGGACTCACTGAAGGTAAAAATCTGCTCTTGTGCAGTGAAATAAATGCATGACATGCAAGAAGGTTTATGGGATTTGAATCCCTAAACACGTAATAGTCCTGTATCATATGCTAATTATTTTCCTTTTTTTAAGGATCTGAAAACACGGATGCAAGAGGCAATGACCCAGGAGGTTTCTGACATTTTTAGTGACACCACAACTCCTATTAAATTGTTAGCAGTAGCAGCCACTGCTCCCTCTGATGCTCCCAATAGAGATGAGGCAAGTATACCCAGGTGGTATGTTTCCCTCGCGAAGCTTCAGTTATTGTTTAATTTTACCTGAATCAGTATTTTGAAAAATGATTCAGTAGTTTGAAAAATGAATTGGTATGTTTTTTCCTCAAGCTTGTGATAGGTGCTGTTAATTCTGGCAGCAGAATGATTGCCATGGAAATCTCTCTGGCCTCCTGGAGACTGAGAATTGTGCTGTATATCCCTAGAAATTGTATTGGCCCTGACTTAGATAACTGGCAAAGCTTTCTCCCTGTGCTGTTCGTACCACGTTGCCTTCAGCATGCTAAAAATTCTTGTGCAAAAATCACTGACACACTAGTTAGCAGATTGTGTATCTCAACATTATATAAGCTGATTAAAATAGTCAAATTCATACCAGGATTTGTCAACTATCTGTGAACAGATTTAACTGTTGCTGGATAACATTTCTTGTATTTCAAAGCTACTGGCTGCGTATGAAGTATCTAAAACTCTGTGTCTGGCAGCTCTGTTTGGCTGGTTGATTTGAACATGATCAGAATGATTCCCAAGGCCTTGGAGATTTTAGCTTTTTGACAGGTGAAACTTTTGTCAAAGTATTCTGCCTTGAATAACTAAGAACTGTGGAAGAAGGTTATTTTTTTCCAATGTGAAGCTTCATTTTTTTAGGATAACCGCCCATATTTAGCTTCCAAATATAGTTACATTTGGATTATGGTTTTGAAGATTCATCTCTGAGCTGAAGTAGTTCTAACACGATATTTGTTACAAAGTAGTTGTCAGAAATCAGTGTACTTGATACCTCAAAGTGATAAAGTGTGTCAGCATCCTTTGTTGCCTGAGTGAGTTAGTAAAGGAAGTCCAGTAATGTAAAGAATAAAAAAAAACCCCAGGTTCAAAGCTTTTGTGTCCTTTTGCATCCTCTCAGAAGAATTAATTTGGATGTTATGAAGGTATTGCTGGTGTTTGACACTGAAGAAACTGTGTGTTCCAATACGGAGGTTAGTCTTTTTTCTCAGGTATTTTCTCTTCTGACAATCAGGTGTTTGATGAAAGAGCAGCAAACTTTGAAAACCACGCTGCTCGACTGGGAGCTACGGCAGAAAAAGCAGCTGCAGTTGGAACTGCCAATAAAACTACTGTGGAGGGCATTCAGGCAACGGTGAAATCTGCAAGGGAACTTACCCCTCAGGTTTGTGTCCTTAGTCTCAAAGGGCTATTAAATGGGCCAGGGACTACTTTTGTGCAGTTGCCTTCACGCTTCTCTTCTCAGAAGACGTTAGTGCCAGCACAGACCACGGTGCTGGTGCTCTTAAAAGGGGAATGGCAAATACTTGTGTATATGACATTATGTAGAAGAAACTGATTAAATGACAAGTCTTATTCTTCAACTAACACAATAAGTGTTAGTAACTTATCTTTGGAACAAAGTTACTTTGAGGCTTAGTAAAATATGTAAGTGAAAAAAATGCTTTTTAATGAATTTTTTGTTTCCAAATTAAATTTTCATCTAAAAGTTTGGTGGTGTAATAAGTGTTGTACTTTAGTGCTTTCAAGAAGTGTTTTTAAGATATATTAGATGTATTATATGTTCCAAGTAATATAAGTTCCAGGAAAAAAGTATTTGTGTCCACGAATTCCAGAAGCATTGTACATCTTCAAGCAGCTAGATGTTGAACTGGAATTAATGAACTAGCATTCCAAATGAGGAGTTACACATCCAGCACTGAAAAAACACGTGCATTTTCAAGACCATGTGATGTTATATACAGGTACTTCCCTAGTTAAAAATGTTTTCCATTGGCAGGTAGTATCAGCTGCTCGTATCCTCCTGAGAAATCCTGGAAATCAAGCTGCTTATGAACATTTTGAGACTATGAAAAACCAGTGGATTGATAATGTAGAAAAAATGACAGGTAAAATAGGAACCTTTGTTGAAGATTATACTTGTGGCTAACTAGCTGGTATGCATTTTTTCCCTGTTCAGATTGATGAAACATGCATAAGAGTAATGATTGATGAAAAATAAATTGAGAAATGGAAATGTGCTTTCTGACTCCAGAAATACGTATATGTTACAGCGTAAACAAGCAGCTTGCTTCAAATTTGTTAATTCTGAGCTGCAGGGAAGTAAATTCAGCATTAGTTCTTTTGCGGGGAAAAGCAGAATACCTGTCCATGTCAGGGGAGTTGGAACTAGATGATCTTTAAGGTCCTTTCCCACCCAAAGGATTCTATGATGACTGTTCATTGAGATTGCTACTCTAGCAGTGTATCACTGTAGCAACTTGAGGTTTTTTCTGTTTAATCTTGGCACGTTGAATGAGGACAGATAATTAAGTGGGGATAAGAAAACATGTTCAAAATATTTTAACAGCTTGATGAAAGCAGTGAATAAAAACAAAGCTGCTGAGTCTTGCAGAGACACCTCAGTGTTTCCAAAGTGCACATCTTTTGCACTGGTCTGCTTATCTCTTGACTCTCTACTGCCTCCTTTTCCATCCCCATAATCAAGTTGTGGGTATTTTCAATCTCACTGCCTTATCGCTATATATCACCCTTAAGTAAAACCACAGCCAGAGGGATATTTCCTTTTAAATGACTGAGAGGTAAAAAGTACTGAATATGCTTAAAGAAAGTTAGCGAGAGGAGGGAATCTCTGCTGCATATACTGTGTAAGCCAGTTCTTGACTTGGACAGTGTTCCACAGTAGATGTGTATGAGCTTGGGATGTCATTAGTTGGAGCAAGCTTGACCATGTTTATGGTACTTACGTACCACATAATCAAAGTAGAACTGCGGTAATACATTTGGTCTGATTTCCATGGCCCCTTCTGCCCCTTCCCAGTTTGGAAATAACTTACTTGTCCAGTTGTGAGCAGCCTCTGGAATACTAAATATCCCTTTCCACAGTTGAAACTAGAATATTAATGTGTGTAACTTTTATTCTAGGGTTGGTGGATGAAGCCATTGACACTAAATCTCTGCTGGATGCATCAGAAGAGGCTATTAAGAAAGACCTTGACAAATGTAAAGTTGCGATGGCCAACATTCAACCTCAGATGCTGGTAGCTGGTGCCACCAGCATTGCTAGGCGAGCAAACCGCATCCTACTGGTGGCAAAAAGGGAGGTTGAAAATTCAGAAGATCCTAAGTTCCGGGAGGCAGTTAAAGCAGCCTCTGATGAGCTAAGCAGAACCATATCGCCGATGGTAATGGATGCTAAAGCAGTGGCAGGAAACATTTCTGATCCCGGTAAGGATTCAGTCAGCTAATTTAAAATGGTTGTTTTTTACTCGCTGAAGTGACGTGAAGTAGTGCTCATTTTGTCTTGTACAGCTGTGTGCCCCCTTTTATGCAAATAGGGTGTACACATAAGTCTCAGAACGGTGAAATCAAGGTCACAACACTAACTGCTGGATCCCGCTCTTTTAAAATGCAATCAAGGCCCTTTGGAGGCATAATCAAGAGAGAAGGATTCAGCATTCTTGTTTATTATTTCATAATCATTGTCACAAGTATTTGCTACTGGTTATCAGTGATGCTACATGATATGAGAACGTATTGCCTAATTTCTTTCATTCTAAAAGTTCTTTTAGAAATTACTTTGGTTACTGACTGTGACTTACTCAGCCTAGGCTTTATTTTGTGCATGTTGCATATGACACTAACATATGAAATATGTAAACCCACGTTTTGGTAGTTTTTAAGCATCTTTTTTGCACAGATATGTGTACTTGGCACAGTATGGTGTAGAAACAATTTTTTTGGGTACTGTTGCAGTTGTAAATATTACAGAATGCTATTAAACTGGTAATGGGATTTTTGTTCAGGTTTGCAGAAGAGTTTCTTGGATTCTGGATACAGAATTCTGGGAGCTGTGGCCAAAGTCAGAGAAGCCTTCCAGCCTCAGGAACCAGATTTCCCCCCTCCTCCTCCTGACCTTGAGCATCTTCATGTAAGTGCAGCATAGTTTGTAATACAAGACAGTTGTCACTGGCGTGTGGATTGCATACTGAAATTACTTGAGTATATTTTTATTCCTTACAAATAAAATGCATTGTCTGGCCAGCCATGCATACAAGTAGCCTTAAGTCTAAAAGACAGCAATCCAGCTTTCAAAAGGAGACATTAAAACATGGTGTTTCCTTTAATGGGGCACTTGAAAAATGGAAAAAGGCACAAGGTCATGCAGTCATGTCTTGCTGTGACACCATTCTTTGCTCAGTCTGTGTATTATTTCATTGCACTGAATAAGACTTTTGCATTTCTTAGCTGACTGATGAGCTTGCTCCTCCAAAACCACCACTGCCAGAAGGTGAGGTTCCCCCACCCAGACCACCACCACCTGAAGAAAAGGATGAAGAGTTTCCAGAGCAGAAAGCAGGAGAAGCTATTAATCAGCCCATGATGATGGCTGCTAGGCAGTTGCATGATGAAGCCCGGAAATGGTCTAGCAAGGTAAGAAGTTGTATAAGTGTCTTGTGCTAAAAGGAATCTGTTTTGGTTTGAGTTTTGGTTTGTTTTGTTAGGATCAGTGTGTTTAGTCCAAAGCTAGTTGTCTCAGTGGCACAGGAAGTCACTGAGACTTCCAATAGTAGAACAAATAGTAAAAAACACTGCTGGAATTAAAAACGCTTTTAAGTTTGCAGTGAACTAGGGTCAACTGTTCTAATACTCAGAATTGCTAGAATGCTTTATTAACATACCTCTGTGAACACATATGCTAAGCTGTGTGTGATCTTGATGCTAGTATTGCCTAGAGAGCCACTAATAAGCTGGTTGCTATATTTGCAGCATCCATACAGACTTTTCAGATGCCAGCTGCAGGAATCATGAGCTGGTTTGTCTTAATTCTGGAAGGAGCTTCGAGTTACTTTGCCATTAAACTGGTGCATTTATGATTGTGGAAGTGACCATGTATTAGATGGCCTGGTCTTTTTTTTGTAGTGAGTCACACTCGCTATCAAGATCAAAATCCATTGTTTCCTTACCATTTCAGTGCTATGACAAAGCAGTGTGAACTCATCAGTCTTATAACTACTTTGCTTTCTCCCTTTTTTTTTTTAACCCAAAGAGATATATTTTTCTTATGGCAGCAACTGAGTAACCGAGCTTCTGAGATTTAGGCTTCTGCAGGTATAAATTAAAGGCTAAACTTGGCTTTTAAAATCTCCAGTTTTCTCCATTATATTAGATGTTGAATGAGAAGATAAACTTGAATAGCTTACAGAATCAACTGAAGTGCTTTATGCTTAAGCAACATTTGTTCTGGAAGTACAGATAAAATACAAAAGAAGTCCTGCAAATCAGTTTGAGTGTCTCTTCCATAAAATGAAAAGCTTTATTTTTCCCATATTTCTGGATATACCAAATGCATATTTATATTACTAAAGGGGTAATACTGGAATGTATTGGTCATCTCAGAAGTTAGTTTTGAGGTACTTTACCATGCGTTATGCTTATGGAGGGGTAAACACACACTTAGGCTTTGAAAAAAATTTTGATAACATTCTTCATTCTTGTAAGATTTGAAATGGATTTGTTTTTTCTCCTCCTTTACAAAAACTCCACTGAGTGGATTCTGGGCTTTTACATACTCCATTTTTCTCATGGAGCACAAACTGAGCACAATCTGCTGCTTTGGGTTTCACTGCTTTTCCCCCTCATTTGGATAAACCAGAGCATGAAGGATATTTGGAAACCTTTTGTTAGATTAGCACTTAAATAGAATTTGTCTTTGAAGACAAGTTGATTTGGCAGCATGCAAAAGTTACAGCTTCCTTCCAAAGCTTGTGTTTTTGTTGCTGTAGTTTGGGTTGGGTTGTTGTGGTTTATTTCTGGTCCGTCCCGTCCCCCCCCCCCAAAAGCTGTATCTTAAGCAAAACACAGTTGAAAATGCATTAGTATTGGTAGTTTGAGTTTTATCACACTTGGCTATAGTCAAAGAAATGCAGTTGGTAAACTTGTAGAATATTTTTGTATCGAAATGCTGCTTTATTATAAATGCCTGTATTGTTACATCACTTACATCTTCCTTGTGCTCTCCCTAACCCTCTTTTTTTTCTTTCAAGGTGATGGATACAACATAACATCCTGTGGCAAAACAGTGTCATGTGCTTCATAATCCTTTTATTCTGCTAATCCTGTTTCAGTATTTTTAAGTGTAATATTTACAGCATTCATGACGTTCGGCATCATCTCCTCTTTTCATAACCCAGTATTGTTCTTTGTCATGTTATCCATGATACTTCAATACTCATTTCTACAGTGTCTCCCGTCCCACCTTCTTTTTTTTTTTCACTCTAGAGCAAGCAGTGTCAGTGAGTTTTGTGTGATCATGCTGCTGTCTTTTCTTAGCACATGTATGTGAACAGCTTCCATACAAAGCTTTCTGTCTGCACAAATACCACAGTCATCAGCTGCTGTGCCTGCTTGTGTGCAGTCAAACCAGCTTTCATCTAAACAGAAAATCCATTCATTTCACCATTGTCTTCCCAGAAATGTTGTTCTGCAAGCCAGCCTCTGTCTGTAGAAGCTGTATCCTCAGATGAAAAATGATGCTGCATCTTCGAATTGTAACTTCTTAATATTTTTGTTAACCTTGGTCCACAGGTGAAATGTTTGTTTCCTTCTGCTAATCTTGTATTACTTACTTCCTCCCTCTGACCTGATCCTAGAGCTGCCTGGTCAGATCCTGAGAGACCAAGAAGACGTTTTGATCACTAAAACAGCTCAGTTCATGCTCTTCTACCAAATTCTGCTTCTTGTACTAACTGTCCCGTTTCTCCACCCTTGCTGCCACCTGCAAAGCCTGTGACTGTGGTTAATGAAGCGGCTGAGGCTGGTGTAGATATAGATGAGGAGGATGATGCAGATGTTGAATTCACTCTCCCCTCTGACATTGAAGATGATTACGAGCCTGAGCTGCTGTTAATGCCAACCAATCAGCCCGTTAACCAGCCCATTCTGGCTGCTGCTCAGTCTCTACATCGGGAAGCAACCAAGTGGTCTAGTAAGGTACTCCCGAGTCTCCCCGGGGACTGATCCGTGTGCATCCAGTCATTTGGAACACTGACACATTTGCATCACTCTTGATCCCTGCTGGGCCCGGCCATTCTGAATGAATAAGTGTGTCTGCACTTCATTTTAAGGACTGAAAGTGGCTTCACAAGTTTGCTAGATCTTGTTTGTTAGTGTCGGATTAAAGCTTGTTTTGGGTCACTTATTAATATTCAAAGGCTTCTTTTCCCTTTGCATCTGCCTGTTTTTCTTTGTTATGGCAGTTTTCAAATTGTAATAGGGGCTGTCTTCCCTCCCCCTGTTCTTTTTTTCCATTAATTGAGGCTACCTGGGAAGCCATGGGTAATGGTTTCTTAATGACTTCCAGATATATCAGAGTATGCAGCATTCAAGAAGCCATATAACCTGTCTATTGTGCTTGGCCTCCACTGATGCCATTAATTAAAATACCTTCCAACAACAAGGAATGGCTTTGTATGGCAGTGTTTATCGAAGAGGACTGACTGTCTGCTGGCTTGCACTTGGCTGTATTGCAAAAGCTGGTCTTGAGAGAATTCTTTTATGAAGAAGCTGCACTGAATGCTGTGAGGTGCTGAATTGAGATTGTATTTATACCAAACCAGGGGAAATCTAACACGAGGTTCAGACATTCACAAGTAGTCTGTCTTCTCTGTCTAAGCACAAATGTTTGCAAAACTGGTCACTTCTCATAGCATGCTGCAAAAATAAGGTTGGTGTCCCGTAACAAAGAAAGATGAGGGGGGTGTATGTGTATGTATGCTTACATAGACAGATAAACTAAACTATTTTATTCAAAAAGGGCTTTAAAAATGTTCTTGTCCTTTACAGATTCTGATGCTTGGATAACTTTATAGAGAGCTTCGTAAATGACACTGGTCCTAATTTCTTGATCCTCCTACGTGAAAACACGGAAAAACTTTGTGTTATGTCATTTGCATCCTAACTGGTTATACTAGCAAACTGTTTAGCTATTAGGTCACGGTAACAAATAGTTCAGCCTTTTGTGTTGTCTGTATCTGTAAAATATCTGGGATATCTTCTTGAATTTGCTAGCAATGAGTCATAGGAGTATGTGCTTATAGGGATAGAGAATACATTTGCTAAGTTGGGTTCTCACTGTGTACTCTTTGCTCCAGACTTCATCAGTCATTAATGTGGAATTATACTAGGAAAGAGAGTGCTGCTCTTTAAACTCACTCTGCTAATACTTCATCCGCACCATAGGAATGCTTCATGGCACCAAATAGTTCACTTTTGTCTAACAACTTTCTACAAAGATGAATCTAAATACACTAACAGACTACTAACAATTGATCATCTAGGTCTGCTTTTTCTTGCACCAGGTTTCTCTCTGGAACAGAGTGTAAGAAATTATTATGCCTTATTCCTATGTAATTCATGTTTCAAGTATTTCTCAGAGGTATTTCTGTGACTAATTTTGACGTACAAGAAATCTGTATTTTAATGTAAGAAATATCACTAGACTATCTTTTAAACTATTTTGTAGTTCTCTCCTGGAAGCTTTATTTTTAAGGGGGAGATTTTGTCAAAAAGGAAGATAGATTTTCAAGGAATACCTTAAAACAAAATAAAAACCCAACCAACCACAAAAAAACCCAAACAACAAACCCACAGAAAGAAAAGTAACAGTTGCATCCCATTTCCACATTACCTGTGACAAACGTTTTATATGTTACCGATTCTCTTCCATTTTTCCTTTCACAGCACAGCTGATGCTTTAACAACTTCATTTTCAGATGCCACTGAAAATTTCATGCTCAACTGTTATGACTACACTGTTTAACTTCATTAGTGCTATTTGGTTTAACAAGCTATTTAGCACACTTTTAATTTAAAGTCTTTTTTGGGAAATCTGGAATTCCAAATCCTAATAACATGCTTTATCTTAAAACCCATCCAGCAGAGCAGTAACTCTCATTCCATGGACAAAACTAACACTTCTCTTTACCACTTCTTTTCCAGTTTTGAGGCGAAGTTTTTCCTGAGTGTTAGGAAGAAAAATATTAGAAACGTATGATTAGTACAGATCTTCCCTGTTCCTTGAAGAAACCTCTGTTCACAAGTGGTTATTCCATCCTTAACTTCTTGAAAGTGCTGCTACCAAAATGTAGACTGCCATTGAGCCATGACTTCTGTGCAGCAGCTGTGGTGGTGTGGATGTTAACTCCTCTTCCTCTCTTCAGGGTAACGACATCATTGCTGCTGCTAAACGAATGGCACTGCTAATGGCAGAGATGTCACGCCTGGTGAGAGGAGGCAGTGGAAACAAGCGTGCCCTCATTCAGTGTGCAAAGGACATTGCTAAGGCATCAGATGAAGTCACTCGGTTAGCCAAAGAGGTGGCAAAGCAGTGCACTGACAAGCGCATTAGAACAAACCTCTTGCAGGTAATGAGTTAACTTGTAAATGCCTCAACTGCTCCCTTCACACCTCTTCCTCTCTTGGCGTGAGTGAGCACAGGAATTGTGGCAGTAAATTGTGTATCTTTCCTTGGCTTGGAAAGTTTTGTCGAGTTCTATGTCTGTTTTTAGATCGCATGGCCATATATATTTGGTAAAGTCAGGATTTGTTTACAGGTGAGTGGAAGATGCCAGTGTCCAAAGAAGTTTTGAAAATTACAGTGCTATGAACACTGGTCTGTCCTAAGCCTGTACTGTTTTGTATTTCATCTACTTACTCCTTTGTATCAACAAACAGTAGCAGAAATACAACACTCCTTAGTTTTTCAGTCTCAGCTAAACATACATCGTGCCACTCTTAACCAAGCAGACCCTTGAAGAACATCTGGAAGAAAGGAAAAATGTTGGCTCCATCCCAAAAATTCCAATAAGATTCAAGTAACTTACCAATATTTGTCAGGAAGTCTTGAAGGCTGTAAGATCCCTTCTATGCTTATTCCTGATCTAATAGTAAAAACAAAATCAAAAAGTTTTCAGAAAAGAAAAAACCAAAACCCCAACAGATAAGGCACTGGTTCAGTTGACAGCGTGAAGTGGTTTTTATTTCCCTTCCTTAGGTCTGTGAGCGAATCCCAACCATCAGCACACAACTGAAAATTCTCTCCACTGTCAAAGCTACCATGCTGGGCAGAACTAACATCAGCGACGAAGAGTCGGAACAGGTAAGAGCTGTAAAAATTGATGCTGTTGTAGAAATGTTGATCAGTTTAATGGGAAAAAATATACAACATGTTGTATTGGGTGTGTTCTGGGAACTCACTGTCTGGCCGCTTACCTCAGCTGTTTAGTGATGATGATTTTAGTATAGCACCTTGGTTTCTGACTCAAAAGCTATAGTTTAATAGAGGAACATCAATCCTTCCCAAACCACAAAGCTACTCTGGTTCAAATTTTTATATGAACAACTTGTTGGTTTCCTTGATTTAACAGTGAAAAGTGACCTAGCTGAAGAACTTGCTTTTACAAATACAGCAGGTTTGACATTGGAGGAGTAGGAGCACCCTATGGTGGAGTGTACTGAAAATATTTGTTCTCCAACAACATCTTGAGTACTGGCAGTTCTGTTAGTTTCCAGTTGCATGTTTTCAATTGAAATCCTGCAGTTTTGGCTTCTGAGAGATTATTCTACTTTGAGACACTCAGTTTTTATTCTGATTTTGCACAAATATAAAGCAAGAAATGGCAAAGTCTTGTTTTGAGTCAGGATACCACTTGCTGGTTTCCAGAAGTTAATTGTTCCATTTATTTTTTCATAGTTTAAGTCAGCAATAAACTGACTTAAGATGCTGTACTGGGGGTCCTCGTGCACAATGGGTTTCCATATTACTCTCCTGGACATGGTATTTCCCAACACATTGGAAATTTGTCTTTTTCTTGCCAGGCAACTGAGATGTTGGTTCATAACGCCCAGAATCTCATGCAGTCTGTGAAGGAAACTGTGAGAGAAGCTGAAGCAGCATCCATTAAGATAAGAACAGATGCTGGATTCACTCTTCGTTGGGTCAGAAAGACCCCCTGGTATCAGTAGACACTTGCCACATAAGTATTGTTTCCTGTAACATAAAATGCCTTTTTTTTTTTTTTTTTTCTTGGAAACAGGAGAGATATATTAACAGCAAAAGGTGCTGTATACATGAGCGTAAGGTCAGCTTATGCTAATGCCCCATTCTAAGGGTATGAATTATAAGAGAATGCATTTCAAATGTCTTCGGAACACATTTGATATCCAACACCTCAGAATCACTTCCGATGGTAGACAGTTCGTATCCTTTATTTTTTATCTTGTTTTGCTTTGAAGATTCTCTTGATGAATTCTGTACTCCCAGAAGCACATTTCATTTATGCACTGTATATTCCTTTAGTTTCCATGTGATGGTATAAAACATGGACCTCACTTTAAGCTTGTGTTGAGAGTCTAGGACACTATTGGTTACTTGGCAGGTTTTTAGGGACAATCATTGACAGAGAAACATTGAACACTTCAGCAGGTGGCTGGTTTTACACCATGCAGAAATGATGGAAGATGTAAGGGGGTTACATTAAAAAGTGTGGGAGGGCAGCAGAACAGTTGTAAACTGAGGATTACAATTCCATGTCTGAAATTACATTCTTTGCTTTTGATTTGTTCCTGGCAGTAGTATTTTAACAGAAACTGGAGCTGTCTTTGCCACCCTCCTGTCACCCTGTAGGCAGGCATTCCAGAGCTCTTGTACTGTACTGAAATGCTTTGCAGTGGACGTTAGCGGCACACTGTTGACAGCTCGAGCCTTAAAACCTTATGGCTGGAGACCTTAACTCATGGAAATCTGTCCTTCTTGCTCAATTCAGTAACGGAGTGAGCTGGAAACTCCTGGTTCTCTTAAGCTAGCTGCATGTCCAGGAGCAGAAAAAGCCACATGCTGGCTCTTTCCTTCCGAAAACCAAATGAGCACATGCATTTATTCTTTTTTAACTTTTCCCTCCATTTAATGTTATTCCAGCCACTCAAGGTGAAAATTAAAAGATTAAAGGTATTGAATGAAAAAAGACCTTTTGCTTCACTGCCCTGGATTCCAACCATGCATGAGCTTTTTGAAACCTGCAAGGTTTCAAAGAGCTGCAGTGACATGAAACTCTTTTCAGGTAGCCTAAACTGCTACCAGCAAATAATGCAAAATATACTGGGCTACTTTTACTGTTCTTGGTATTTGGAGGCTCAGACTCTTTTTTTCAAGGTCTAATAATAGGAAATTGCACGAAGTGTTATTGGGTCTTAAAACTGGCAGACAAAACCATAACAATTAACCCCCCCCCAAAAAAATCCCCCATCCCTCTCATTATTAAAATAAACTTGGGATGCCTTTATCCTTCTGTAACTGAACATGCCTTCATATTTATATATATATATATACACACACACATATATTCATTTCATTGCTTCCTCATGTCTTTTGGCATTTGACAGAAAGCAGGATTGTTGTTTTAGAATGAGTCTCTGTACACTGACCTCATGATGCCCTCTTAATTTGCTGAAGTGTTGCATGATCCAACCACCTTTAATAGAAGTGCCCTTGTGGAAGAACTGCTCAGTCTTAACAGCTCAAAGGAGGAGGAACCTGACAGTTTAACTGTCTGCAACTGTTATTCTACACTTGGACTTTCTCCCCTCCACCCCCTTTGTTGCACTGCTATCTAAAAAGGGAACTCAAACTGATTATACGACATCTGCCTCAACCTGAACTTAGCAAGAGAAAGCATGTGTTCATCTTTAATTCACTCCTTGTGTCTGGGTATTACAGAATATGTGGTACTTCGGATCTTTCCTTAATATTCTCTTCCTGCAATTACCTACAACGGGAAGAAGAGGGAAGGGGTGCCAGAGCCTTAACCTGAATGTCTTGCATTTGGTTGGTTTATACCAGATCTTTAACGTAATTGTAATGTAGTAATTTCTATTTAACAGTAAATAACACTGAATTAGGTAGGGGTTATTTTTAAAGGATTTTTCTAAGTAGTCTTCTTGTATTACTTTTCAATGCTCCTCACCATTTCCTCTCTTCCCCCTCCCCCAATTCAGGCTTGTCTGTCAGATATTTTTTTTTTAGCATCACTGTTTAGTTGCTTGACTGATATTAATGCAATATTACTAATGCCTTTAATATGTAATTGTTTATGCCAAAGATCACCTTTTGTTTATTGCAGAATGTTTGCAGGAAAGTTATGAATCATGGTTGCGTTTGATATCCTTCCAGAATGTTTGCTCTAAGTTCTTGACCTGTTTTGTACAAGCTGAGATCCTTGTCCACCTTATGCAATTACTGCTTTTTTGAACTCTAGTGGTCTTCAGACCTGAAACGCAGAGAAAATTTGAAAAAAAGACCATGAATGTCACTTAGAAATGTTTTGCCACTATCAAACTTTGTTTATAAACCAAAATGTATTGTATAGTCTAACGTTTTCAACCTTTCTTCAGTTCTGTTAAAACAATAAAAATGCATTTGTACAAATGTCAGCTCGTGATGTTAATGGTAACGGAGCAGTGGGTGACACCATAACAAGGGGAGCAAAAAGCTAAAGCAGCAGAAACAGTAAAGCAAAAGGACAGATGTTTCTACGTATTCTGAATGAAGTGCAGTTTCTCAGACAGGAGATGATGTTCAGATTGTTTCTGTCTTTTGTGCCCATAAAGCTAGTGGTTAAAGAACTGAATGGAAGCTGTGATCCGGTGGGAGAAAACCAGAGCTCTTCCAGAGGCCTGATGGTCATCTGTTCTAGTAGCATTAAGCAAGGTTTTGAAAACACGAAATGGGATTTTCTGGTCCTGTCATTAAGGGAAGAACTGCTGCTCTGGCCAACACCTCATTAATCTGCATTTTACTTCACAAACTGAATGCAGGGGTGATTAGCACAGGATCCATTCTCTGCTCCCTTCACTCCTTCATGGTAAGAATCTCCTACAAACACCACTTCTTGCTAAAAATATCTACCAGCACACATGTTCTGACTTTGTGGAACCAATGTTTATTGGTGCTGTGGGACCCAACGGAGTCCCGCAGTGCCAGAAAGCATCTGGGATTTAGTAATGATAGGGAAAATTCAGATTTTGTGCTGTTCACATAATTCAGTCTGTATCTGAGAGGATGAGAACCTGGGAGACATTTGCCTTTGTCAGCACTCCTGGAGGTGGACACCTAGGGAAGGGGAGATCAAGAGCTGGCAGTACAAATTCCTCAGCAACGGCACCCTCCAATTCCTTAAGCTGTGCTATTCCTGCAGGTGCTGGTGCAATTATTTTTTAACAGGGAGCCTGGAACACCCTCCCCCTTCTGCAGATTCTGCAGTTGAGTTTCCTGTGTTGGGAAGAGCCGGCAGGAGCCAGCACACCACCAGCAAAAGGTGTAAGCCTCACACAGCCACTGCCATTTCTCATGCCGAAGGTGGTTTCCTACCAGGTGAGTGTAATTCTTGCTGATGGTGGTTTCCAGTGGTGAGCTGTGAAGTACAGCTGGAAGTTTTTCCAGAGACAGCAGCTTTGTGCATGCTCCCCTTGTGTCCTAGATACAGAAGGCCGGCAGCGCTCATCCTGCAACTTGTTGAGTGAAGTGCTGGTGTGAAGGCCAGCCCGTTTTGATAGTGTGTTACGTTCTGTATCAGTAACCGTGTCAGTTGTGAAAGGAGATCTTGCAGCATTTCCAGGCAGCTAAGGCAGACAGCAGCTCCACCTACTCACAGTTAAGCTTGGGACCTTACCAGTTACATCTGAAGACTTCTAGTAACATTACTGGAACTGAATGAATCCATTTGCAGAGACATGGAGCAGAGCTGTAGGATGAGTGATGAATTGATGGATGTTTCTGCAGTTGTGTTGTGTCTACACAAATGCAAGGCTCTCTTACAGGTGCTGCTTTCTCTGCACTGATCTGCTGCTATTTCAGGAATTCAAAATGGTTGTCTGTGGCCAAAGTTTGCCCCAGTGATACCAGTGAAGTGACTGATGGAGAACAGATGCTCATTTCTTTTCTTACTGGCTTGCTGACAGTGCTCACATGGGTTCCCCTGCTTTTGGTTTTGTTTGGTTTTTTTTTTTTTCCCCCAGACTGGATCATTCTTTGTCCCAGCATTAGAAATTTTGGCTACTGTATGACTTGAGTTCCTGTTCTTCATCTGAAGCAAGGTTTTCACCTAATCCATTTGTAAACCAAACAGGTTAGGGAAATAAAGATTCTCCAGTTTCCTGCCCTTCCTTCATCTTTAACTTGGGTTGCCCAACCTAAGTACTGCCCAAAGGCGTGCTTTGAAACCTGGCAGGTACCGTGGAGCAGACGTTGGTTTACAGAGATAATGAGTACATGGCATAAGGAAGTTTAGTCAGCTTTGCTTCATCACTGTTGTCTTTGAAATGTCATAATCTAAACGTTAATTCTCCTCCATTTAAAAATAAAAGATATGGAAGGGAGCTTACCTGCTGTGCTCCTAAATGCCCCTTCTAAACTTCAAATAGCTGCACAGCGATCAAGTTCAGTAAAGAAGTAGCAAATAGTCGTCACTTAATTGTATCTTAAGCAGATGTCTCCTGCTTATGAGCATCATGAATTGTGCAAGCATTTCACAAGAGAAGATGTATTTGCAGTAGAGTTCCCTTTATTTCATTAACATTAAAGCACACAACCATTAAATACACTTGACACTTCTATTGTGCTACCTAAAAAGCTACGCTCCAATGTACACATGGCACAAATCTGGTGGCATCCACTCGGAACAAGTGGAACATCTACAATCAAAGCAAAGGCTTCACATAAAAAATAGATCTTACTCTCTGCAACTGTATTCTTAAAAATAATGGTGGCGATGATGAGACTGAATGGAAAGAAAGTGGATTACTGAAGCAACAATCACCTCCCAGATTTAATGCAGGATGTTATTTTTATCAGCTCATCTGCAGATGGCACAAATGAAAGCTGATTAAGGCAAATGCTTCTTAAGAAAGGCGATTTCTTGTAAACAACAAGGAAGTTATTTTTTTTCTTCATCAGAAGCTCTTTCTCAGGAGTGACACTTGCTACATGCCAGGCCCCCGCGGGGGACCCCTGCCCCTCTCGCTGCTGCTCTCTGTTTCTAAAGGGGTTACATGATGCTTTGTGGGTTGCCAACTCGCAGCTGGCTGTGAGAATAGCTCAGCAGTCTTTGCAGGTGGCTGCAGCAGCAAAATGTGCCACCACAAGACTTCCCCTGTGACCTGTCTGGCCTTCAGAATGTGCTTGACCTCTGGGCTTTGGTATCTGACTGGCAGTGTAGTGTTTGTGGCATTCTGTGGATCACCTACACCAAACTATTCACCAGCACAACAATTCAGTAAAAAAAGAGTGAAGGTGTATTAGAAAAAAAGTACCTTATTTTAAAGCCATATTAAGAAAAACTAAGCTATGCTTTCATTTTAAGAGCTGCTGTGCACAAATGCTTTGATCCGAAACTAATCAGTGTCTATTAATTGGCACCTAATTAATAGCAACGTAAGTCACTAAGCAGTCAAATTTTCTTTTTTAAGGGGAATTTCCTCTTGGAAGCTGAGCAGCCTTTCATGTCCTCACTTGGAATTTTCCTGCTTTTGTAATATATTTGACACCTTTAAAAGGCTTGTATTTCTCTCCAT